AAGGTTGGCGTGTCATACTTTCCCAACATGTGACATGCTTCAAAGAAAATTGGCTAGAATGTTAATGTGGATGTGCTTTATTCCACCCCATAAAAAAAGAACTAATGAGTATATGCAAAAGCTGCAGATTCATTAGCCAAGAGACTTACAGAATGAGTAAAGAAATATCAGACTCCATTTGCAAATAATGTCGTCTATCGCTTCCTGTTTTCTTGGGGCAAGGTTTACGATTGTTATAGCACGAAAACAGAATGACGGCAAAGGAACAAGAGAAGATGTCATTCTGTTCTCACGCTATAACAATCGTCATGTCATACCAACTAGCCCAAACCACCACGCTGCAAGGTTTACATTGCACAGTCAGGGAGATGCCTGAACGATAGACTAAGAAAACATAAGCAGAAAGTGGGCTGTTATCAAGACGGGCAGGTGTGTCAGTGTAATGATTGTTGTTGTAAAGCATCGTTCAGAGAGTGTACCATTGTATATAGGGCCGATAAGGCTACGAGAGAAATAGTTGAACCAGCCCTGACCATGAGGGCCGGTGATAGCTGTGTCAGTTGCGTGCCAACTGACACAGTGCTGACTGTAAATGAATTGAGCTTTTTTGACACCACAGGTTTTTGTGAGCAATGATTAGACTTTTGTGCACAGATCTGTTTATTCTATTACTTTTGAAAAGAAACAATCAGTTGAAAGTTACCACTTGTCTTGTTGTCTCTTCTTCATCCATGTGTGTCAGCACTATGCCACATTTTGAACCCGTAGAGCACTATAATGTTGCACATGCCAGGAGGATACATGGCATGTGTGAGAAACTAAATATTGGAGAGCCCTTAAGCTTCGCATTTAAAATTTGAATGCAATAACGAAATCCGGCCCCTAGTGCACCCTTCAACTGCTAAGCGCGTACTTATTAATATGTTTTATTACATACACACATATGCACATAAACATGCACACAGTAGATTGGACCAGTGCGTGCTATTATCGCCGAATGGGCTCGTTTTCGTCGTGACACCTGTCAAACAAAGTGCGTTAAAGGGGCCCTGAAATACTTTTTTAAATAACCATGAAATGAATTTACTAAAGGAGCTTATTGCCTCATGAATTTAACGCCACGAAAATTTCAAGAATCCGTCCAGTGCAAGTAGAGTTACAAAAGTTGGTCGCATGCTGCAACTGCATTATCTCTTCTCTCGTCCTGACGAAAGCGCTGGAAGCTAAGCAGGGAGGGGTGGCAGGGCAAAGAAACTACCGCGCCTCGTGACCTTGAGAACTTTTTTTTTCTTTGAATGTGCGGTTTTTCCAGTGTGATCGCGCGCACACACGTGGCCAAGTAGCGGCCTCCCCCGGCTCGGCAACTAGATTTTTCACTCACAACCAACGGGGCCGACTCTGGCGGCGGGTTTTCTGCGACAGAAGTTCTCTATCCCATTAAAAGTGCGCTAAGTTTGCTTGAGCACACTTTTTGTGACGACAGGGTTAACAGACCAAGCAGGAAGTGGGCATCAATAGCATCAATGTCTCAGCCACTCAGTGTTGTGGATGTGCTTGCTAAAAGGGTTTGCAAAGAGAGGGGGCTTCAAAACAGTGGATTGTCGGGCTAGTTGGTTTGACATTTGGCATAGAAGAGCGAAGGCTTGGAAGGAAAGGAAGACTACTTAGAAGAAAGACGCTCATGGAGCGTCTTTCTTTCAGCTTTCTCTTAGTTGTGACCGTTATTAGGTTGGGCAATTTGCAAGGTGCATAAACACCACATTGAGGGAGCACGACTCCGCTTTACGTAGTGCAGCACAAACACATCTGGTGCATCTGCAGGACATGTGATACACACAATTTTTTACAGACACAAAAATTTTGCCAACACACGGGCAGAAAATAAACCGGGAGTTAACTGAGGCGTTCCACATTAAAAATATGGGAGATAAGTGTGTAAGCCTAGATCAGTCACGTCTGATGAAGAATTCGACTTCCTGAACAGCACGTGCAGGTGTCCTACAGTTGCGAAGACATCAGCCTTAAAAAAAATAGTTGGTATTAGTGCACTATGTGTAAACAGATATAGTTAGTTTTATCTCAGGGGTGTTCAGGACCACCTTTAGGGGCGTTAGTTGGTCTTGAAGATAAAAGCGCATGTGTTGTTTTCAATAAATAAGTTGTGAGTTTGCACCTGTGATGTCTGTCTCTTCTCACCCACGTTTTTTGGTACAAGTCTTAGCTATGAAGTTCCACCAGTTTGTGTATGGTAGGAAAATTGTCATTGACACCGATCACAAACTGTTGCTAGCCATTTCATCCAAAAATATTGGGAACATGCCCCCAAGACTTCAATGATGTTTTCTTCATCTATTAATATACATCTATGAGCTACAGTTTGTTCCAGGCAAAGAATTAGTCCTTGCTGGCATGCTGTCAATGGCCCCACCATCACAGCCTGAAGACATGGTAGATTTTGATAACATTCAGGTACACGCAGTTGCTGTTTTGTCATCCTCAGTGAGCAAAAGAACCAAACAGCTTTTGTCTCGGGAAACATATAATGCTCCTAAGCTACGTTCTGCCGTAGAAAGCCTGTCTTCAAACAGAGGCGTTGAAGGAAAACTCAAGCCATTTGCCTCGGAACTTTCAGCTGCTGACGAAATTTTTCTGAAAGGGACTAAGGTAGTTATACCAAAGAAACTGTGCCCAGAAACACTAAGCCACATTCTCGAGGGCCATCTTGGTTTAAGTAACTGCAAAGCTAGGGCACAACATTTAATATTTTGGCCTGGTTTGAGCTCCGACATTGATCCCATTGTAAAAAATTGTGCGGTCTGTAAAACCTATTCTTACAAACAACTGGACCCTCCTTGCTACGAGCCCCTCCTTATCACACTTGGTACCGGGAGGGCGTAGATCTTTTTTGTTATGCTGGAGCCACATACCTTGCCCTTTTTGATGCTTACACAAATTTTCCAGAAATTGAAAAACTTGAGGAGACGTTGGCAACTGCCGTTATTGACAAGTTGGCAGCCATTCTTCCCATGTATGGAATCCCGATGAAAGTCTGCACGGACAACGGCCCCCAGTTTGCAAGCGACTGATTAGCCACATTCTCGAGTCGATATGATTTCAAACATATATCTTCAAGCCCAGAGTTTCCGTGTTCCAACAGGGTAGCAGAAGAGGGTGTCCAGATTATAAAGTGGCTGCTTAAGGAAACTAGGACCACTCATGAAGATTTTTGGCTAGGTTTACTTGGTTAACGCTGTGCTCCATTACATTCGCTAGTCGTTAGCGGAACTTCTGCAGGGCAGGCCTCTACGCCTAGACTACCAGCCTGCAGCCCAAGCCTCCGGTAAAAAAAGCAACAGCAGAGGTCGTCCGGACAACCGTCGAGACCACTACTACCAGGGGACATTGTTCACATGAGAGGCCAGGCTTGGTCTCAAAAGGCTAGGGTGTTAGGGAAAGTAGCCCCGAGGTCCTACAACGTCGCAACAAGAGAGAGTTGTGGCGTAACCGCTAACATTTACTGCCGACTTTGGAGCCATTTGTGTATCACAGTGACACTGACGTCGAAGGTGATGACTCAGAAGAGCCTCCACATCAGAGCTCGCCTTGTGTGACTTCGCCGGCGCCTAGAAGATCCTCGCGAATTAGGGCCGAACCAAGACATTTAGCATGCAGTCACAGCTTCGAATAACAGCTTAGCGGCCTGTTCCTGTGAACTACTGTTGAACTTGTATTTTTTTATCGCATTGTACTTTTTTGATGCCTTGTAAAAAAAAATATGGGAGATGTATCATACTGTGTATCACTCATGTAGTGATGCGCACTCCAGTACGCACTGAGCGATGATAGCTAATATAAGAGATGACAATAAACCCAACAAGGCATTGCTGCTTTTTGTTGCATCAGTGACCATTCAGTCTTTGATCAGCCTACCTGTGCCTAATACACGGGTATTTTTATGCCACCCATTAAACTAGTTGGTCAGCTTAGAATTGTGTTTTCTTACACATGTACAGAGAAACGAACAAAAGCGGGAACAGTGCAGCGTAACGTTTTCGTCATGCTGACACTTGCGGCTATAAAAATATGCTACATTGGTTCTTGATTGTATCGTGGATGACTCTAGATGTTTTTATTACCATCCAGGCTTGTAAAGAAACACAATACAGCAGAGAATAACACATTCTTTGCATTTCTTTCCATCCCCACTGTAGATTACATTACATAGCACTACATGCCATACAATTTTACATGGCCGTTATCGTTCAGCATTAACATCTCTCCTTGTAATGTTGCTTATAGTTGAACAGTAACGGCGGTTCTTCTCTTCATGCGGGTTTATTATTCTGTGGTCTGGTGCATAGAATAGGTATCCCTGACGGCAGCTTCTCCGGCAAATCGGAGGATTCGCCTGCCATGGGCCCAAATTATGTCCGCCGGCTCAGGCGATAGGGCACTGACCGATGTGTACGCTGAAGCTATAGTGAAGGTGGCAAATGCGACGGCGAAGTACACTTCTGGCCAACTTTGTTGTGCTGACATACGCACTTATCAATGTCACCCACTGATAAACTTGACATTGTGAAGGAAAACAGCAAATGAAAGGCGTATAGCGGTACGAAATGACAGCGGTTCTCACACTTTGTGGAGAACCGTGCGTTTGTGTCATGCATGCACTGGCATTTTCACCAGATACTTGGATATAGAACAATCTATCTGGATAAGCGCGACCACGAATCACCCGAAATCTTGTGGTCTGGTCCATAGAACAAAGCCGGAGTTGGCGCTGCGGTGTGGACCACAGAACGGGTACTTAGGTTAACACACCATCGCATGCACTGACATGGTCCGTCGTTTTCAGATAGGATCAATAAAGTCTCATAGTGCCAAAATATCTTATATCTCGCAATGCACTAATTGTCTTGGCGACATTTGATAGTAGTAGCTCACCCGATCATTCTGCCCGGCCACTTATGGAAAAAAAAAAAGATGAAAAGGCCTGCCTGTTTCTCGAGTACTTGGATCTGGCACTCGGGAGAGGAGAAGTCCTTGCTGAAGTCCAAGCCGCACTCGCCGATGGCGACGCACTCGGGATTCGAAGCGACGCTCCGGAGTACTTCGAGCGCCTCGTCATCGTCCCAAGATTTGGCGTCGTGCGGGTGGATGCCAGCGGCACAGTACACGGTGCCGGGATGCATTCGCGTCAGCCGAAGGGCCTCCTTGGTTGAGTGCAAAGATGTGCCCAGAACTATCATCTTTCTGACACCCGCATCTTTGGCCCGCTGAATGACGCTCTCGAGGTCTCGATTAAACTTTTTGTTCACCAGGTTAGCGCAAATATCTACGAGTAAGTAATTATCATCAGATACGAACAGCTGATCAGCATTCGACGCCATAATACATGTGACGTCACTGGTAGGTGTTCTGTGACGTGCATAGCTCCTCCCGGACCGCGGGAACCTTCATGCCGTAGCAAGGTCATGTGTCACAGATCAGCCTATCGCGGGCGCCGCCGGCTTCATAAAAGCTTTTCGATACTTTTGAATTTATTGAGGGACTTTACCAATATGATCACACCAACGCCTCCTCTTGGAAGATGCCTGCCGCATGAGAAAAAAAAAACAGCTGCCACATCCTTTCTCTCCATTTTGAAAATTTTCTCGGTCGCTAGCATCACCTGTGGCGGACGGTGCAACAACGCAACACTTTGCATAGCCTCCGAAACAGTAACGCACAGTTGCAGGTCTCGAACAACTCTCGACTGACGCGCCCCTATGGGCCGCAGATGAAAAGCGCTTAGCTGTTACCACGTTGGCTGGTACCGTCCGTCGCCGTGATAATGAATGGATGGATGGATATGGCTGTACCCTTTAGATTGGGCGGTGGCTAGCGCCGCCAAGCCGTAATACCTAATGAACTAAAACTATATTTTTTTTCCTTAAAAAGTGAGTTTGAGGATTCGTACTTTGCAGTGAAGAGTTTAATTTTCACTCGTGCCTTGACTTTAGTCACCAATCAGATAACCTCCTTCTAGTTAAGTCTACCCGCTTAAAGTTTATTTTGCCCTCCCGGTCCCTAAACCCCAGTGCTTTGAAAAACTCTGTGCCATCATCCTGAACTATAGGGTGAAGCCTTTTACAGAACATTATCAAGTGTTCGGCAGTTTCTTTTTCCTCTCCACACGCACTGCATACTGTGTCTACCCCTTCGTATTTGGCCCGATATGTCTTGGTTCGCAGTACTCCCGTCCTGGCCTCAAACAGTAGAGAACTACCCCGAGTATTATCATAGATCCTTTCCTTTGCAATTTCCTGCTTAAAAGCTCGATAGATCTCTAGTGCGGACTTCTTAATCATGCCTACGGATGGATGGATGTGGCTGTACCCTTTAGATCGGGCGGCGGCTAACGCCACCTAGCCGTAATACTTAGTGAACTAACCATTACATCTATCTTTTTTTTTCCTTTAAATAATGAAGTTGAGGATTCGTACTTCGCAGTGAAGGATTTAATTTTCACTCGCGCCTTGACTTTAGCCACCAATCAGATAACCTCCTTCTAGTTAAGTCTACCCGCTTAAAGTCTATTTTGCCCTCGCTGTTCCTAAATCCCAGTGCTTTGAAAAACTCTGCGCCATCATCCTGAACTATAGGGTGAAGCCCTTTACAGAACATTATCAAGTGTTTGGCAGTTTCTTCTTCCTCTCCACACGCACTGCATACTGTGTCTACCCCTTCGTATTTGGCCCGATATGTCTTGGTTCGCAGTACTCTCGTCTTGGCCTCAAACAGTAGAGAACTACCGCGAGTATTATCATAGATCATTTTCTTGGCAATTTCCTGCTTAAAAGTTCGGTCTCGGTCGCGAGACCGAACTACAGTCTACAGTCTCGGTCGCGAGCGCCACCACGCGGCGCTTGCTCAAAACTGAAGGCAGGCCAACTCCGCTGGGAGCGCGAGCCATTCCCCAGGCATTGTTTAGAGGAGGTGTTGATCACACCCACGACCACGGAGGAAGGAAAAAGGTAAGGAGAGGGCATGCCCAGCCGGCGCAGGGCGTAAAAAATGTGGCGGAAATGACATCATGGCGGCCATATTTTAGTAGGCGCAATGGCGGCGTTGTTATGGTTACGTGTTGCGCAGTGAAGCTGGTCTAGCAGTGAGCGGCCGCGGCTGGCGGCGGAGACAATATCTGTGCTCGGCGCCGCGTTATTGGTTACGCAGTGTTCGTCTGGCTGTTACATTACTCTTAGCAACGTTTACAAATCTCTTTGTCCATCACGGGTTTTCAACAGTGCGTAGAACAAGTGCATATCCATGTGTCGTGCGGCGGATGACGCGGATGAAGCAGTTAGTGTTCAGCGAAATGGCGTTGGGCACCATGACGAAGCTGAATGACGACGAACGCCTTGCAGGTCAGTGACGGTTGAGCAGTGCTCCTGCTTGTGACAACGGACGACGCTGTTGAGCCCAGCAAGACGCCGTGAGGACCATGTGCACATACGTAGTTTCGTGTTGTGTGTGTACAATAACAACTTGCATGTGCGTATTAAAACACCTTTTCTGTTCCGCTTGGTACACTCTCCACCAGCATTGCATGTAATCTCAACGTAACAGCAACCACGTTCAACTGTCACTAGCACCGTGCTCAAAGTCACCACGGTCGCAGAATGCTGACGCAGGTGAGTTTCACGCGAAACACGGACACAGTGGCAGGACGCTGCGTCAGTCGCGTGGCGGAATGCAACCGTAGAAGGCGCACGACCGATCGTGTTGTCTGTACAGTTGCTCAATTAATGACGTGAAAGCACTCGCCGTTGTCGGTGCATCTAGCGCGCGTTCTTTCGTAGTTGCTTCGTTGTCAGCGAGCTGTTACTCTTTGTTATTACTCGGACGAAGCGATTTCGCTGAAGGTGTCCCGCTTGTAGTGGACGCTGAGTGCTATGTTAATCCTCTAATGGATGGCGCTGTCGGCATGCGCGCGCCACCTCATGTGGGGTATATAGCAGGGGGGCAGTTGGGAATAAAGGGGGGTCTTCTTGTTGTTGCTATGAGCCATGCTCGTGTCTTACTCGGCGTCTCTGAACATGGTGTCAGAAGTGGGCGTCTAACGCGGAGTTATGGAGGAGACAGACGCCGGACCTTCTCAGCTCAACTTCATTCACGTCGGTACACCGGGACTTCAGCCTCCGTCGCCTTTCAACTTCACCAGCCCTGGGGAATGGACAACATGGATAACGAGGTACGAAGATTACGCCTTCGCGGCCGGTATCAACACAGCCACCGACGAGGTGCAGGTGCGAACTCTTTTATATTGCATGGGTTCCCAAGCACGTAGCGTCTTGTCGTCGCTAGGACTGTCTGCTCCGGAAAACCGCCCGTTTGCGGAAGTCAAGGCTAAGCTCACTTCGCATTTTGTCCACCCTATCAATGAGATTTACGAGAGCCGCCGATTTCACCGCCGAGTGCAACAACTTGGGGAGCCGGTTGATGAATTTTTCACCGCGCTCAGGAATCTTGTCAAGCGTTGTGGGTACAACAACGCCGAGATCGAAGACCGCCTTGTGCGAGACAAGTTTGTCGTTGGATTGCGGAATGAGAAGCTATCGGATCAGTTGTGCCGATGTACGAAACTTACAGCTGAGGAAGCGTTGTGCCAAGCGCGTGTTCATGAAGAAGCCGAAAAAGAGCGTCTATCCCGTGAAACTCCCAGCGAGAACGGGGCCTTTGACAGCTTAAACGTGGACGCGGCGCAACGCGCGAAGAACGCTTCATCGCGTCGCAGCAAATCTGTGCAGCCAACTCAGTCTACTTGCGATTACTGCGGCCGTGGTCACCACTCTCGAAAAGAATGCCCAGCTCGCAAAGCCACATGCAATTTCTGCAAGAAGCAAGGTCATTTTATTGCTGTTTGCCGGGCCAAGCATCGGAAAGAGCTGTTAGGCTCAGTGGAACTTCACGCGCTCAGTACGCGTCGGGCACGATATGCCGACATTCACGTGAATGGTCACCTCGCACACTTCAAGATAGACTCAGGGGCCGAAATAACGGTGGTTTCACCTTCTTTTCCGGCATTACCTACTGTTTTGGATAAAGTGGACGCCGAGGTATCCGGTCCTGGAAATCAAAGGCTGCACGTTCTGGGATCTTTCACTGCTACCTTGCAGTGGCGTAACAAAGTGTCTGTGCAAAGACTGTATGTTATCAAGAACCAGACGACACACCTCCTGGGATTACCAGCAATTGAAGACTTGGGCATCGTTCAGTTTTTGGACTCTGTGGATGGTATTCCGTCATCTCAATCAAAAATTTTTCGTGGGCTTGGCGAAGTACAGGAAGAATACCACATCCGCGTCGCTCAAGATGCTCGTCCCTTTTCATTAAGTGTTCCTCGACGAATACCTCTGCCTCTGCTAGAGCATGTGAAGAAGGAATTGGATGAAATGGAAACCCAAGGAGTCATTCGCAAGGTTGACACGCCTACCGCATGGTGTTCAGGCCTCGTCGTCGTGCCGAAGTCGTCGGGCGGGTACAGGCTCTGTGTCGACTTGACGAAGCTTAACAAGGTTATCCAGCGGGAACGCTACATTCTGCCGACAGTTGAAGACATCTTAGGTCAGCTTGGTGGGGCACAAATTTTTTCCAAGCTCGATGCAAGATCCAGCTTCCACCAAATAAAACTAACTCGTGAGAGTGAAGAACTGACGACATTCATCACACCTTTTGGCCGATATTGCTACAAGCGTCTTCCCTTTGGCATTGCGACAGCACCCGAGTATTTCCAACGCTTCATGTCGAGACTGCTCGAAGGCATCACCGGAGTCGTCAACATGATAGACGACATACTCGTCTTTGGTAGGAACCATCAAGAGCACGACCAGCGTCTAGCTGACGTCTTGGCACGGTTGACTCAAGCGGGTGTCACTCTTAATGAAAAGAAGTGTCAGTTCAGGGTCTCTTCTGTCAAGTTCTTAGGAGTTGTCGTCAGCCAGCAAGGAATTAGTCCAGACCCGGACAAAGTCAAGGCTATCATGGATCTCCCACCACCAATCGATGTTAGTGGTGTTCGCCGATTACTTGGAATGGTAAACCATGTGGCTCGATTCATTCCAAAACTGTCTGAGATCTCCGCACCTATTCGTGCACTCCTCAACAAGAATAACGCGTGGAGCTGGAGTTACAACCAAGAGGAAGCGTTCAAGAAGATAAAGTCTTTGCTCAGCTCCGACACATGTATGGCTATGTACAATCCCCATTACCCAACTATAGTATCGGCTGACGCAAGCTCTCATGGCCTTGGTGCCGTTTTACTCCAAGATCAACCGTCAGGAATTCGACGAGCAGTTGCCTATGCTTCCAGATCTCTCACTACTACAGAAGGACGCTACAGTCAAACGGAAAAGGAGTCTCTGGCTGTCACATGGGCTGTCACCAGGTTCGATCAATACCTACGTGGACTAAGCTTTGAGGTCGAATCCGATCACCTTCCGCTTGTAGCTCTCCTGTCAAGTAAAGATCTGGACATCTTGCCACCTCGAATTCAACGTATGCGAATAAAACTGATGCGCTATCAGTTCGCCGTCAAGTATGTTCCTGGAAAACTGCTAGCCACAGCGGACACACTATCAAGAGCACCCTGCGACTTGCCAACTTCTAAAGCAGTCAGCAGCTTGGAAGTCTATATAGGGGAAGTTCTCAAGGAGCTACCTTTACAACTGGAAAATCAGCTAGACGAGATCCGTCGTCTTCAAGCTCAAGATAGCGAGTGTTCTTCTATTATGACTTATTGTGAGAAAGGCTGGCCGTCCAAGAAGAGAGTTCCGACCCATTTAGCACCATACTGGAAGGAGCGAGAAAGACTGAGTGTGTACGATGGGTTACTCTTACTGGATCGCCGCATTGTCATCCCGTCAGCCCAACGCAAGGACATTCTCGCACTACTGCACGAAGGACATCAAGGTGTCCGCCGCTGTCAAGTGCGCGCCCGCGAGTGCGTTTGGTGGCCCCATTGCAGCCAGCATATTGAGGACCTTGTGGCTCAATGTGCTAAGTGTGCTGAGACGCGAACCTTGCGTTCTGAGCCACTGTCACCAACGCCAACACCGGAACGACCATGGCAACGCCTGGGAATCGACTTGTTCCACCTGGAAGGACGCGACTACGTCCTCATTGTCGACTACTACTCCCGATTTCCAGAAATAGTCACACTGGGAACTTCATCAGCAAAAGCGGTTGTTGCTGCGGTCAAGAGTTGTTTTGCCCGTTTTGGGATACCAGACGTTGTGCGGACGGACAATGGACCTCAATTCTCGTCCAAGGAGTTCGCCGACTTTGCAACGGCGTATCGATTCTGCCACGAGACCAGCAGCCCTCGATACCCTCAGAGTAACGGAGAGGTAGAGCGCATGGTGCGTACCGTGAAAGATTTGCTGAAGAAAAGCCCGGATCCGTACCTCGCTCTACTCGCATACCGAGACACACCTGGAGTTTCGGGCGTCTCTCCAGCTCAGTTACTCATGGGAAGGAGACTACAAACTCGTCTTCCGGTTCTGCCTGAACGACTTCTTCCGGCCTTACCCAATCACGAGGAATTTCAAGCACAGGATACTGCGGCGAAGTTGAAACAGGCGAAGGACTACAATAGCCGTCACAGTACTACTCCTCTGATTTCTCTCAGTATGGGGGAGGATGTGTGGATAAAGGATTTAGGTTGCAGCGGTCGTGTCCTCAGCCCAGCTCAGCGACCAAGGTCATATGTGGTCGAGACTCAAAGTGGTGTTGTCCAGAGGAACCGTTGCCATCTGGTGCCGTTTGTAGATGACCAAAATGTCCAACAGCAAGCATCAATGGCTTCATCACCGACGCATGGAACCTTGTCATCAAATCCGCCAAGAGACTCAGCCTCGACCTCAGCGTCGGAATCATTGTCTCCAAGTGCTTCAGGTGCTTCGTGCGCATCACCTGTGCCGCCTGTGAAGATGCCTCCCTCGCCTGAAGTGCAGACGCTACCTGTGCAAGCAAGTGCGCCTCAGTGTGATGAACCTAAGCGTACGCGTTCTGGCCGTGCCGTGAAACCGCCGCGCAGGTTGAACATGTAACTATCCCGGGAGGGAAGATGTAGTGGACGCTGAGTGCTATGTTAATCCTCTAATGGATGGCGCTGTCGGCATGCGCGCGCCACCTCATGTGGGGTATATAGCAGGGGGGCAGTTGGGAATAAAGGGGGGTCTTCTTGTTGTTGCTATGAGCCATGCTCGTGTCTTACTCGGCGTCTCTGAACACTGGCTCTGAGTGATGAGCCCAGTTCCATTAGTTTTGGATCGTCACGACACGCGCTGCGCAGCCCACGTGCTTTCCGAGCCGGAGAGGGAGTCGCACCTTCTGCTTCGCATTCATATGTAAACAAGAGAGGAGAATTTGCCTACTCAATATGGCCGACTTCCGGCTTCATTGCGGCTTCACAACAAGTGACGTCAGGGCCTCTCCTTACCTTTTCCTTCCTCCGTGCCCACGACCGTCACACCTCCCTACCCAAAGTCCTTCCTCTATGATGGCAAAGCCAAACCACAGAACACCTACCACGTTGTGCGGTGATTTCGTTCTGGAAGGTCCGATGTGCCGTGTTGCTGTGCGTTTGGGTGAAGACGGCAAGAAGTTATTTTGCATCCCGTGGGGCAAGCAGAACCTAACCAGAAGAAAAGTGTGGTTGCACTGAATTGGACGGAAAGACTTCGAACCGTCGGCCACTGCACGACTATTCGAGGTAAGTAACGCGACACAAAGGTGCAAGAAAAAGCATACGCGTGCATGTGCCGAGCTGCAATAGCATTTCATTCGTGCGCGCTGGTTTTGATGGCCCACATTTGTCGAGATTATTCATTTTAGTGCTTTATGAACCCGCTGACGTAGGTCATGCACTACGAGCCTAGCATGCAAGTAAATAAAGCGAGGGAAGCGCACTAACTCGCTGACAGATATCCGCATTGTGTTGCACGCGACCTAAATTTGTCCGCCGTCGTGGTATGGCAGTTACTGCGGTTACGGTGCTCGGCTGCTGACCGGAAAGACGCGCTTCAATCTCGTCCTCGGCGGTCGCATTTTCGATGGAGGTGAAATGCTAGAGGCTCGTGTACGGCGCGTATTCAGTGCACGTAATAGAATCCCAAGTAGTCGCGAAATTACCGGAGCAGTCCACTACGACATGCCTCTTACTCACATCGTGGTTTTGGCACGTAAAACCCCAGCAATTATTATTGTTATAGCGATAAACATTCATAAATTTCAGCAGTGAGTTTCTACTATCTCTAGTTTTCTATCTGTGCGCGTTGTTAACTTCGCTTTACAACATGTTCAGAAAGTCGTTTCCAACTCTGCTACAGGATCATTTCACAGAAGACCAGTTTGAACGGATTATTCTCAAGAATACCGGTGAAAAGAAGCTAAGGCCATTTGCGACGCCAAGCATCTTTTTGCATCGACCAGTTGCAAAGCCACGCAAGCCACCCCCTAAAAGAACAAGAGTGGAAAGTACTCGTATGTTCACGGTGTTAATTAGCACAAATGATCTTGAATGCTATTCACAGCATTCAAGTCAAATTTGATTATTGCAATGAAAACAATCCTTGAGTTATCATTTGTCATTATGTTCATGTATCCTACCCAGATGACCCCAAAGTCAAGCAAAACACACAGGTCGATGTCGAACCCCAGCCAGTGGACACTGAGAATGGTAAGTTTCTCCCGTCTGTAAGCTCCTACCTTTCCATCAGCTGGTAAATTGCCTGCTTATGCTCTTCATCCGCTCACATACAGATGATATATGCCGTGCAGACAGCACAAAGATATTTTATATTTTGTAATTTACAATCTTTTTTTATGTTGCAAAATATGGTTCAAACTTACCTTCACGTCTAATAAAGCTGTGTCTACAGCTGATCCAAGCAAACATGCAGATATTTTGTGTGGCCCAAAGCATGTGTATTCCCCATGTGAGATACCAATGCCTCTCTACATTGCTGGTTGTCAACTTGCTTTGTGCTCTAAGCAGATGTTCCTGATATGCAACTAGACCTACAGATTCCTGCTCCATTCCAGCCAGAAAGTACACAGGCTGGTGAGTTAAACAGTTTTGTTCGAATTTTTTTGTGTGCCATCATTCAATGCCTCTTTTGCGCATGCTACTAGGAGGTCTAGGAGGTCTAGTAGCATGCTACTTTTGCGCATGCTACTAGTTTCCATGCTACTAGGAGGTCGAGGCCCTTTGTTTCGTGAATAGCAATACATTATACCCGTAACAGTACCGATTTGTGTGCAACTCGTGCAGAGTGAGAGAAAGTGAATTGCATGAAGGGAACAAGGGAAAAGAAACATGCGGGAATGTTAGATATTCCTGCGCTTATCTGATGTTTTTGTGTTGCGCTTCCCTGCTCTCATGCAGGTCATTCGCTCTCAGCAACGCATTCTTAACAATGCTATTTAAAACTAGGGGAGATACCGCACTGATAAAGAATACACATACAGAGAACTGCAAACAGGCTGTTCCGTGCATGCGCTTTCTGTATCAGCGTGACATCTTTAATATGAAGCACCACCTAGCCCCCGCTCTTGCCTGTTTAGCATTGACAACTGCTTTAGACCTAATTTCGGTGCACTATTTCAGGCCACTTGATACAAGCAGCTGTACAGAAGAGGGTGGCCCAGCTTGAAATTGAACTTCAGGCGACGCGACGGAAGCTTCAACTTGCTCAGAGGCAGCAATTCCAACCACTAACTGCAAATAAGCGCCTTGTTGCAGGACTAAACAAATACTTGAATGAAGACCAAGTTAAATGTCTGAAGATGGCAACAATGCAGGGGACTCGATGGACTAAGAAGACTGTTATAAAGGCATTGAAAATGAGACTTTCCTGTGGAGCACGTGGCTATGACTCAGTCAGGGAGCTTGGACAACCTCTGCCAACAGAACGCACCCTACATCGTCACTTGGAAGGGTACAAGTTCACACCAGGTTTGCTGGAGGACATCGCACTAAAGGTAAGTGCATAGACAGGTGCCCATGACCCTTGACCTGTCTTGTTACCATAGCACCACTGTTTGCATCGCCTAACTAAATCTTTCCACTCCATAGCTTGTTAGCCCATGACCCTTGACCTGTCTTGTTACTATAGCACCGCTGTTTGCATCACCTAACTAAATCCACTCCATAGGTTAGCCTCATGTCACCAAAGGAGCGCCACGCCACTTTAATGCTCGATGAGATGCAGCTTGCACCAGGCTTAGTGTACAACTCATCCTCGGGAACAGTGCTTAGAGCCCCAACTATACTTCTTGCAGACGGAACACTGCCACCCGACTGTTTGGCCACTCATGGGCTGGTATTAATGCTCGGTGGGTAACAACCCCCTGGAAGCAAACACTTGCTTACCATTTGACTGGAAATTCATTCCTTGCCAAAACAGTTAAGGATATAATCATTGTCATCATAAAAGCATGTGAGGCAATTTCCCTGAAAGTAGATGTTATGGTGACAGACATAGGAGGGGGGAACCAAGCAGTCTGGAAACTGTTCGGTATAATTGTAGGCAAGCACAGCAAGCCTAAAACCTCGTGTCCCCAGCCATGTGATGCATCTAGGCAACTTTTTTTCATGGCTGACGTTCCTCATCTCGTTAAGAACCTGAGGAGCCACTTAACTAAGGGCCAGAAGATATACTTGCCCGAAGAAGTAGTGAAAAAAAAACAATCTGCCAGGAAATAAAATATCCATCGAGTCTACAAAGAAGCTTGTCGAGATAGACAGCAATGCAGAGCTAAAGCTAGCTCCCCACCTGAAGCCTTCTTCAGTTGACCCCAGCCATTATGATAAAATGAAGATGGGGCCAGCATTCAGCCATATCAACAGCGACACTGCTGCTGCAGTACGCTTGCTTGTAGATAATGGAACATTAGATAAACCAGCCTTGACAACTGCATGGTTTCTTGAGATGATGTTTCGATGGTTCAGACTCATGACTTCCAGAACAACAAAACTGGCTTTGAGCCATTCTGACGATGTTGAGTATGGAAAGGCCCTTCAGTTTCTTGAAGAAACAATTGCACTTTTTGAAAAAAATATGTATTGGGGATGAAAAAAAAGCCACCTGGAAACCAGTGCAGACTGGCCTTATCCTAGCGACAACATCAGTGTTGCTACTGCAGGCACTGTTTCTTGAAAAGTACAACTTTAAGTTTCTGCTCCTGAGCAGGTTCGGCCAAGATGCCCTAGAGAATCTTTTCTCTACACTAAGGTGTAAGAACCCGGTGCCTCGTGTACTTGAATTCAAGTTTTCGCTTCGAGCTGCTACGATGGCCCAGTTTCTGAGGCCAAGCAAGGACGGCAGCTACACTGAAGAAGACTACTTTCCCTTGACTGGCACGGCCGATGACGACAACAAACCAAATGAAAGCAAAATCTATGTTGTTCGTCCGTCTGACCTCCTTGATATTCAAGACTTAGAACATGAATCCTTGGAGTACCTTGCTGGTTATGTTGTTGCATAAGAAGGCAAACTCTTGTCAAGCCTGTGTTGAAGCGATCACAAGCTCAGCCGAGGGAAACGAGCTCACAATGCTGAAGTGCTACAACAAAGAGAAGCCGGCATTGACAGTCCCATCACCAGCTGTCTTGCAGTTATTAGAGACTGCTGAAAATTATGTGCGCTTAAATGAAGATGCATTGATTGCAAACAGAGTTTCTGCATCTAAACTTCAGAGTACCATTCAAAGCTCCCTGTACTTGGGCAATTGCTTCCCTACATGCCACTGCATATCGGACAAACTCCTTGCCACGTTTTTAAAAACTGCAATCTCAATTCTCGTGAAAAAGAAAAACCATCTCCTTATGACAAAAATTCAAAGCTCACAGAAGTGTGGTAGCCGAAGCATTGAAATGCATGTTGCTGCAGGTAGCATTAGGTAGTACTGGTAGAAAAGTTTGTGTAAAATCTATGATGTCTCTTGTACTACTGTAAGTGTGGCTGTTCTTTGTTTTTGCATTTTAATAGTTATTTAGGCTACCCTTACTGTTCAGTGCCAGCTTCAAGTCATTGATTGATTTGTGGGGTTTAACGTCTCAAAACCACTATTTGATTATGAGAGACGCTGTAGTGGAGGGCTCCGGAAATTTTGACCACCTGGGGATCTTTAACGTGCACCCAAATCTGAGTACACGGGCCTACAACATTTCCGCCTCCATCGGAAATGCAGCCGCCACAGCCGGGATTTGAACCCGCGACCTGCGGGTCAGCAGACGAGTACCTTAGCCACTAGACCACCGTGGCGGGGCCAGCTTCATGTCATGTCCTTTTGTTCACTTGGAAGCACATCCTAAGCGTATTTTGTGCATCGTATGTGTAATTAAATATACTAGTAAGTACCTGCGTTACTCTGTACTTTGCATTGTGGGTGGCATGTGCCGCAGCTTTTGTCTGCAAGTATAACCTTACGTAGTTGTACAACTTAGTGTCATTATATTTTTGTGCTGCATGTGTATATGGATGAATGGATGAAAAAACTTTGTTCAGCTCCTGCAAGGCGGCATGTGTATTGGTCAAGCCGTTATGGTAAATAAGTGGTAGTTGGTGTTACTGTACTGCTCGCGTAGTGATAATTGTGTGGTATTATGAAACTTTGTTTGGGTTTGTGTATCATTCAGACTTTCGTTTTAAACAAATAATACTCTTGTTCCTACATTATGATCTGTTCTATATTTCATATTGTTCTGTACGCATTGTCTATTTCTTGTATTGTGTTATTCCCATTGTATTGCTGATCCTGCCTAAAGTATAGCATTCGGACTGGCTGTATGTTCTATAATAAATAAAGAAATACCACATAGCCATTGCTACTGGCCATCACTGTATTTCCCGAATTGTGTTGTTCCCACTGTATGGCTGACCCTTGCCTAAAGTATGGCATTCGGACTAACTGTATGTTCTTATATAAATAAATAAATGCCATATAGCCACTGGCCATCACTGTATATTTCCTATATGTATCGCTCACCGCTGTCTAAAGTATGGCATTCTGACAGGCAGTATCTTCTTAAATAAATAAATACCCCATATCCACAGCTACTGGCCACCAAATAATAAAACTATATCAAAGTACATTATTGTCTACTCTGTTACTCTTAGGTTACCCTCACACTCGGATACTAAACGAAATGTCTCGGTAAGCAGCAATGCTATTTCACTGATGAAAAGCACCAAGCTGCGAACTAACGTAGGAAAAACATCAGAAGCGATATAAAATCACCAGCAAAATAAAGTGCAACAATAACAAGGCCAATTCGCGGGCATTTCACTTAAGGATCTTTAATCCTTGAGAAGCTTGCGCGCTTCAGGGAGGCACAAAGGCAAATCGAAAAAGCATAAACACACTATTAAAAATCCACGCGGCAATTCAAGGTTACGTACCACGTTGCTCATATCAGGAATACAACCGCATTCACACACGCGCACACAAGCAGCCTTGTCGAAGAAATTTAACTACACCATGGTGTTCCGCGCGGTTAGGTCGCGTTTGCAACACGAACAAATTCGGCGATGACACGCCACTTTGGAATGTCGTGACGCTTGCGTTGACTCGTAGCACAGAATAGCAAAAGACACTCAATTGGTCGGGCAATCTCCGCACGCAGTGAGAAGAAGACTGTTAGCGCAAGCGTTTCCACCAAATTTTATACTCACACACGTGCGCAGGATGTTTACTTTCAGCGAGGATCGCGTTTCAGTAACGCCATGTCGAAATTTTTTTGCTCCGGATGGCTGTCAGATGCATTCTTCGACCGAAGTGACCGCTATATGTACACAGCACACTTACGAGCAAGAAAGGCGGAGAGCAATCGGATTAAGCGCACGCAGTCGCCAAGGTACGGCCAATACCCCTTTACTGCCGGTTGTCGCGAATTCGCGACATACCGAAAAAGGCCGACCAAGCAACTTACCACACGCGTACTGCCTTCAGCGCCGGCTGTCATGTCTTCGCGGCGAACGTAGCTTTCAGTACGAGACATCTAGCGCCATCTCACGTAAGGTATTCCAAGCTAGGACCCAGTGTTGTGTCCGAGTTGGCGGTGAGCGCGAAGCACGTGCAACAGCTCTCATTTCTTCGTTGTTTTCTGCCGGAGTGACGTAAGTTCAATCTACTATAAATTTTTTTCGGTGTGCACGCATCCAAGAGATTGAATATGACAGGCTACATTGTTTTGAAGTACATTTTTTGCTGCACAATCCTTGCTTTCGTGGTATGTCGCGAATTCGCGACATCCGGTGTTTGCGCAAGTGGTGACTGACGGTATGATAATTTAGTTTTTCATTTTTTGACAGGAGATGGACTCCCGCTCGTTATATGGGAAAAGGGGGCTTCGTACGCGCTTGCCAATTGAAGACAAAAGTGATGACAGCTGTCTCAGTGACAGCGAAGACGACGATGTTGTTCCCTATCATCATACACATGCTCGAGTGTCTTCATCTAGCAGTGAGGATGAAGACGAAGATGCGGTAGATGAAACAAGTGCCTCTCGAAAGCGTGCGGTACGATGGAAAAAAAACGGTTGTCAAGAACAGCGAGAAGTACCACCCTGGGAAAGCGCTCTTCCTGAGGCTGACACTGTTCGAGCTCCTATCGAATATTTCAAGGACTTTTTTGATGACAACTTCATGGATAACATCGTTGAGCAGAGCAATGTGTTTGCGACGCAGAAAAATCCTAACAAAGGACTTGCTATGTCTCGTGATGAGCTTGATCAATTTCTCGGCACCGTCACATTCATGTCGATCTGTCGACTCCCAAGAAGTCGGCTATACTGGGCGGCCGAGTCCAGGGTCCCCACGGTGGCCGACACGATGTCACGTGATTGCTGGGAGGCAATCAAAGCAAATTTGCATTTCAACAACAATGATGACATGCCGCCACCAAATGATCCACACAAGGACCGTCTTTTCAAGGTTTGGCCAGTTATTGACTTCCTCCTGCCGAAATTTCAAGGTATCCCAAAAACACAAGCCCTGTGCGTTGACGAGCCAATGGTACCGTTCAAGGGACGCTCAAGCCTCAAGCAATACATTCCCAGCAAACCCCACAAATGGGGTTACAAAGTTTTTCTGCTGTGCGACCCACAGGGCATGGTGCACTCTTTCGAAATATACACAGGAAGGATTGATGCTGTCCCTGGGGAGCCCGACATTGGTGCCACTGGCAATATAGTCCTCAAGCTTTCGCAAAACATTCAGCCAGGACTGAACCATCTTCTTTTCTGCGATAATTGGTTTACGCCCCTGAAGCTCTTTAGCTCATTATCAAAAAAAGATGTCCACTGTCTTGGCACAGTCCGTGCTAATCGACTGCAAGGTTGTCCTCTGCCTTCTGATGCAAGCCTCAAGAAAAAGGGCCGAGGATCCTTCGAAGAATTCGAGACGGTGGTTGATGCCACAAAACTAATAGCACTCAAGTGGTACGATAACCGAGCGGCCACAACGTTGAGCACGTTCGCAGGTGCTGAGACAGTTACGTCTGTTGGCAGGTGGGAACGCTCAAAAAAGATGACCGTACATGTTGAATGCCCAAGTGCGGTCAGCATCTACAACAAGTTCATGGGAGGCGTGGACCAGCTGGATGCACTGATTGCATATTACAGAATCCATGTAAGGTCCAAAAAGTTTTACCTCAAGATTTTTTTCAATTTTGTGGATATGGTCGTCGTTGTCGCCTGGCTGCTTTACAGACGTGACTGTGATGCAGTAGGCGTCCCTACCAAGCAGCAGATGAACCTCCTCAAGTTCAAGTTCTACATCGCTACCTGTTTGCTGAAGGAGAACAAGGACACTGCAAAGAAAAAAGGGGCAGGCCGTCCTCATCTGTGGAATCGCAGCTTGAGTGCAAGAAAAAAAGAGGGCCCATAAAACCCGTGCCAGTCGCTAGTGTCCGCACGGACAGTACGGGTTACTGGCCAACTGTCGGAACCACACGTCAGCGGTGCAAGCAGCCAGGATGCAAGGGGCAAACCGTTTTCAAATGCACAAAATGCGACGTTCACTTGTGCTTGAATAAGAATGCTAACTGCTTTGTGGATTTTCACCAGCCGTGAAACGAGATGCTGTTACTAAATCCTGGGTAAAGGATATGTTTTGCTGAATATTTTTGATTGCACGATTCAGTTTCTGTGAAATAAATGTTTGCCAGAGATGCCAAGCTCCGTAGCCCTGATCAGACTCGGATTATTGATGCGGCGATCACATAGTTGCGTTGAATTGAACGCATCTCTCGTTTGGACCACATATTGACTTAAGTGCCTGTTGTCGCGAATTCGCGACAAACCTAAAAGTATGCAATAAAGTTGCATTTCAGATAATATAATTTCCGAATGAAGTAAAGATTGCTATTTAGAGTTGAAAAATGGAAAACGAATTTTTTTCTTCGGCGCTTTCATAATTCAGGCATTAAGGGATACAGCGACCAAGGCAGCCGCGGGTAAACTCGCCTCGGGTTGTCTTCGGTCCCGGCTCGTTGTTGTTTCCGTCAAGAGCTTAGACTATTTTGTGAAATGAAAGCGAATCAACGCGCCTTCATTTTTTTTAATTATATGCAGCTAATTTAGGTTGAAAACGCAAATGTGATACGAACGCGAATAAACAAGATGTAAACATGCCGAATCTAGGCGATCAAACATTTTTTCCGCTCTTTTTTTCAATGTTTATTTAAAATAAAGGCACAGCTTTAATATTTTGGGCCCTTATTTCGGCCTTCATCACAGTCAGGCATCAGTAGTTTTTATTTCCTGGCATGTGCAGATATTTTTCCAACAGCTGAATGCAGTGCTTAAAGCTGGGCGCCGTCTGCTACAGGAACTTTCTAGGAGGCGCGTGCGGCAGATGTTGCTACCTTAAAAATTATGGAGGGACCTTAAGTCCCTGATGGATAGAAACTTAGCAGGATGAGCATGATTTATAAAGGAAAGGGGGACAAAGATGACATAAACAACTACCGTCCTATAACAGTGACATCAGTGGTCGACAGGCTGGCGATGCAGATTATAAAGGAAAGACTGCCGGCATGGATAGGGGATGAGAGGCTGCTGGGGTAACTGCAGAATGGGTTTCGGAAACACAGGAGGTTGGAAGACAATCTGTTCTCACTGACGCAGTGCATCGAAATAGCAGAAAAGGAACTCAGGCACCTGTGGATAGCATTTTTGGATATCAAGGGAGCGTACGATAGCGTGGTTCAAGAACACTTGTGGGGAATACTAGACACACTGGGTGTGGAAGATGGAGTCACTAGTCTTTTAAAGGAAATCTATAGAAGTAACAAGGTACTTTTAAAGTGGGAAAGACAGGTATCCAAGCCCACAGAGGTGAAACGGGGACTTAGGCAGGGGTGTCCACTGTCACCCTTGTTATTCATGTTGTACCTACAAGGATTAGAGTCCAAATTAGAGGGTAGTGGACTTGGCTTCAACCTCTCTTTAGTCAAACAAGGAAAACTCATTGATCAGGCACTACCAGCATTAATGTACGCAGATGATATAGTGCTAATGGCCGACAACAAGGAAGATTTGCAGAGATTGATGGACATCTGCGGTAATGAGGGAGATAGGTTAGATTTTAGATTCATTAAGGAAAAATCAGCAGTCATGATTTTTAATTATAACGAAGGTAGTGAGCTTAGAATACAGGAAGTCACGCTAGAGATAACAGATAAATACAAATATCTGGGCGTATGGATAAGCAATGCGATCGAGTACCTGAAGGAACACGACATATACGTGACTACTAAAGGTAACAGGAAGGCAGCAGTGATGAAAAATAGAGCACTGTGGAATTACGATAGGTATGAAGTTGTGAGAGGAATATGGAAAGGGGTTATGGTTCCTGGGCTGACGTTCGGCAATGCGGTCTTGTGCATGAGATCAGAAGTTCAAGCAAGATTAGAAATTAAGCAACGTGGAATAGGTAGGCTTGCTTTAGGAGCTCACGGGAATACACCAAATCAGGGAGTGCAAGGTGATATGGGATGGACATCATTTGAGGGCAGGGAAGCTAGCAAATTTAAGAAGCGATTGAAAGAAATGGGAGAGGAGCGTTGGGCTAGGAAGGTTTTCAGCTACTTGTACATGAAGAATGTCGATACAAAATGGAGGAAGTGAACCAGGACATTGACTGGTAAATACTTAGAGAACAGCTGGTGGCCAAACCAAAAAGAACTATCGGTTAAGAAGAAAGTGAAGGAAACGGAGATGGACATGTGAAGAATTGGCATGATTAAGAAGTCCGCACTAGAGATCTATCGAACCTTTAAGTAGGAAATTGCCAAAGGAAAGGATCTATGATAATACTCGGGGTAGTTCTCTACTGGTTGAGGCCATGACGGGAGTATTGCTAACCAATACGAAGGGACAAATGCGAAGTATGCAGTGTGCGTGGAGAGGAAGAAGAAACTGCCGAACACTTGATAATGTTTCGTAAAGAGCTTCACCCTATAGTTGAAGATGATGGCGCAGAGTTTTTCGAAGCACTGGGGTTTAGGGACAGGGAGGGCAAAATAGATTTTAAGCGGGTAGACTTAACTAGAAGGAGGTTATCTGATTGGTGGCTAAAGTCAAAGCACGAGTAAAAATTAAACCCTTCACTGCAAAGTACGAATCCTCAACCTCACTATTTAAAGGGAAAAAACGATAAATATGATAGTTCACTAAGTTTTACGGCTAAATGGCGGGAGCCGCCGCCCGATCCATCCATCCATTCATTCCATCCATACATTCATCCATTCATTCATTCCATCCATCCATCCATCCATCCATCCATCCATCCATCCATCCATCCATCCATCCATCCATCCATCCATCCATCCATCCATCCATCCATCTATCCATCCACCCATCCATCCATCCATCTATCCATCCATCCATCCATCCATCCATCCATCCATCCATCCATCCATCCATCTATCCGTCCATCCATCCATCCATCCGTGCTTTTCTCGCGTCGTCTGCTTGCCTCTGGGCAGGGAATTCGACTGCGCTCAGTTTTAACGCTGGGGCGTTTTCGATGCTTACTGGTTATTTCTTTAGTGTTGTATACGTCGGGAAACTATGAAAAGCATGCCATGTGAAAAGCAGTTTAGAAGAATCGCTTCCGCAGACTAGCTGATTGGAACAACCCTGCATGTGTCGCTCACAGATTAGTTATAGTGTTTGGATTGTTATAGTAATTCAAAGAGTAGAAGTCAATACAGTTTTCCTGAAATGCAGTAGAAGCATATATGAAAATAGAAGACTAGTGGTTTGATACAAGTTTATTGGAAACAGTGCATGAAAATGTTACATAACATAGGGCTTCACCTTCTTGACTTTATTCTGCGTAGCATGCTGGTTTAGCCTTCCAAGCAGATGGTCATGCTTAAAGCTTTAGCCTAGCTCTTCTTATTGCAGCTCTGCTGCTCACAAGGCGTGTCTCCCGCCGGGCCGTCAAACACGCCAATGTGTTAAATTGAAAAAACCTCCAGTTTTCTATTGGCTTAAACATGTTCAAATTACATACATACCTTGAGCCAAAATACCTTTCGCAAACTGCAGTAGTCTATTGCAGGGGCTTGTCGGGCCTTGCTATGACACGTGCCCACTTTCCTAAAGCATCTTGCCGGGCAAGTGCGTGAAACAGGGAGAGTATAGACCACTAATCTCACATTTAGATTTCACTTGCACTGCCTGCACTAGTTTTGAAAAGTGCCACAGCGGTGCCAGCTGGATGGATGGATAGAATGATGTGGCTTACCCTTTATATAGATGAATGAATTGATGGATGGATGAATAGATGGATGTCGATGTACCCTTTAGATCAGGCAGCGGCTAGCGCCAACCAGCCTTATTACTTAGTCAACCACCAACTAGATTTATCTTTTTTTTAGTTTAAATAGTGAAGTGTAGGACTGGTACTTTGCAGTGAATGGTTTAATTTTCACTCGTGCCTTCACTCTAGCCACCAATCAGATAACCTCCTTCTAGTTAATTCTACCCACTTAAGGTCTATTTTGCCCTCCCTGTCCCTAAACTCCAGCGCTTTGAAAAACTCTGCACCATCATTCTGAACTATAGGGTGAAGCCCTTTACAGAACATTATCAAGTGTTCAGCAGTTTTCTCCTCCTCTCCACATGCACTGAATGCATACCATGCATTCGTATTTGGCCCAATAGCGACATTTACGTAAGGGCAGTGTTTCGGTTCACCCGGTGGCACGAACCTTTTCGAGGCAAAAACGCTCGGTTCACCCAATAGCCGCTTAAAACCGGCTTGACTTGGCTGAAAGTGTATGAATAGACGGCGTTAGAATCGCAGTGTTAGAAAACTTTTTTTCAGGCAATTCAGGCGTTCTTTATTCTGTGGTTCAGGTAGAGTTTCTCACTAGCTTGTGACACAGAGTCGGTGGCGGGTTCATCGTATTCTAGTCGTGATGTTTTTTTTTTTTTTGGTCCGATGTTGGTGTTGGATTGGACTGTAATCTGTTTGAAATGGCGATAACCGCCTCTGCCCGTGGGGACGTGGTCGCTTTCTGTCGTTAGAAAGTGATTGATACGCAAGTCGCTGCCGCTTTTGTTAATTCCTGTGATGTCGCCGTGTTCAGGAGCTTCTCATCCGTGCTTATCGAGTAGTTAACGGCATTCGCCCGAAGTGTTTGCCACCAAATCTACAAGCAATGATAACGAGCATAAAATAAAGGCCATCTAGAATGCGATTCGTGAATGTTGGTCTGACGCATGTAATACGCGGATGTATGGTAGGTGCATACGTGTTGCTTGAGGACCCATCAAACAGCTGGTGTCACTTGGGAGGAAGTATATATTTGTGCCAACGCTTTCGTTGAAGCTCGTTCTTGCGTAAGTGCGCGAGATAGATACGGAATGCAC